ATGGAAACTCATATCTCTAGGTGAAATTTGGCAGTCTTTTTTTTAAAAATATATTTATTGCAATTTTCATATATTTACAAACAGTAGAGGTATTTGAGGGGGAGGGGAGCTTAAGAGCGAAAGAGAGAAGGAAGAGAAGGGGGGTTTTGAGGGGGGGGAAAGGCGTGGGAACGTGTAGGTGGGGTAGAAAAGGATAAGGAAAAAGGATATATGAGTGCATTAAAAGTGACAGTTAAAAGAAAAGATTCAAGGTTCAGAATATTTCGTTCTTCAATCCGATTGACTTCCAGGATTCTTCCAGGGAGATCTTCTCCTTTTCTTTCCTTTCCTCTTCTCTCATCTCTCTGTTTCTCCATCTCTTTTGTCGACTAGTATATGMTTTCAGTCCTTCTTCTTGTCTYTCCRTTTGTTTCAGTTCTTTTCCTTCCTTTTCTGCATTTTCTTCTCTATCTGACTTRGGTCTTTTTATTTGGTTCTCATAGTTCTCATAGTTTAATTAGTTGTGTAGATTTAAATAGTCTTTAAACTTTGTCCAGTCTGTTTCGGTTTCCATTATTCCTTTACTTCTTTGTATAATAAAACTCAAACTATCCATGTTTCTAACTTCCATCATTTTTCTTCTCCAATCTTCTATCTTAGGTATTTCTTTCTTCCTCCATAGTTTAGCGAAGCACATCCTAGCCGCTGTTGTTGCTAGGAATAATAATTTGGCAGTCTTCATCCCCTTAGAAAGGACAGAATTAACTGCAAACAATAGTTCTGCCAAGCAATAAAAATTAAAAACAACACATTTTCAATGCAGGTGAAACGTCAGGAGAGAATGCTTCTGGAACATGGCCGTACAGCCTGGAAAATACACAACAAACCTGTGATTCCAGCCAGAAGGGCATTCAACAATATGTTTTCAATGTGTCTAGCAAATAAAAACTAACATGCAGGCATCTAGTACATCTTCTAAATTCCTGAAATTTAGTACATCTAGTACATCTTCTAAATTCTTGAAAAATCAAGTTCAGTCATTTTGTTTTTGACTGCTGTGAGCCAATTTAAACTTATAACAACCCTATAAATGAGAGATTTCCAAGTGACTGTATCATCATCAAGTCTGCTCAGGTTTTGGAGACTCAAGACCATTAAATATGAATGCTAAACTTATTTATTTATTTACAGCATTTCTGTTTTGTGATCCACCCCAAAGGGGACTCAGCGTGGATCACAGAACATATATACGACAAACATTCAGTGCTGTTATACACTAACAAGACAGACAGTATAGATAGAGGTATATAGGCTTTCCCCATATATCGGCTTCTTGGAGGTTGCGCTCCATTCTGGCCACAGGGGGGTGCTGTTGCTGCATCCTTCATGCCGAAGAGCCCTGTTCGTAGACTTCCTCCTTTGTTTATCCAATTGCCAGCATTTCCTGGTATTTCCTTATGGTGCCATTAAAATACCTCCTCACTCAGCAGTACCTATTCGTCTACTTACAGCTGGTTTTGACCTGCTAGGTGAGCAGTGGGCTGAAGGTTGGGTGCTCACCCCCGGCTCGGGCTTTGATCTGCCAACCTTTTGATTGGCAAGATTTATTGCAGCTGGTGGTTAATCTGCTGAGCTAAAGCCCGATATGTAAAGCAGGATCTGACTCGGGGGAAAATAGCATGAAAACTGGAGGAATGAATATTCACATTTTAAGAAACGCAGGTGACACCATACTACTTGCAGAAAATAGCACAGACTTGGAACGATAAGTGAATACAGAATAGTGCAACGGCTTCAGACTATGATTTTGGATTGTGTGGTTTTAATTAATTGATTTTAATGTTGAGTTGAGATGTTTTTAATATTTTGGTTTTAATGTATATGTTTATTTTATTTGTATGTACGGTATATTTGTGCAGCATCGGATTGTTGCCTACTTGTAAGGCACTCTGAGTCCCCTTTGGGATAAGAAGGGCAGGATATAAATACAGTAAATATATAAAATAAATAAACAATTGCTGAAGAAATTAATGGGGAAAACTGTCAAGGCACTTTTTAACCTGCTCGATAGATTGTTATGAGTTTTCATTGTTTGTATACTTAAAATGTTTACCTATGCATCATTGAATTTTTGCTGAATTTATAAGCCACCTTGAGTCCCCTCTCAGGTCAAGAAAGGTGGGGTAGAAATGAAGTAAATAAATAAATAATAAGGCAGGTTTACAGCTGAACGTTAAAAACATATGTGGTCTACAAAACTTTAAAACAGAGAATGAAGACATTGAAGTAGTTCAAGATTTTCTGTACATTAGCTCAGGTCCCATCTACACTGTCATATAAATGCCATTTCAGAATGCAATTTAACTGCATTGAATTAGATTTCTGCTATATATATATTAAATATTGTTTTGATTTTATCTTGATATGTGCTTAACTATATTTTCACTTTCAAACTCATAATGAAAGATGTTGGACAAACCTAGTCATCTCTTCTGCTTGGAAAATCTGCAGAAGGTGCTCTTCAGTGAAAGTGTCGGCCTCTACAATTAAGACCTCATCTACACTGCCATATAAGGCAATTTGGAACTGCATTATGTAGTCAGTATAGATTCATGAACTACATTGTATGAGTCTATACTGACCATGTAATGCCATGTTAAACTATTTCATAGATGAGACCCAAATCTCTCTTTAGATATTATGTCTGAATAGGGTGTAGGGGCATTCATAAGGCACATAATTATGTGCCCTGTCCCCACCTTTTTTCTCCCTTCTTTTCCACCTCTAGACTAGAAAAATCTCAAAAGGGCTCCAATTCATGTTGACTTGCGTGCAAATGTAAATCTCTGCATAATTGAAATGTTGGAAAATCTAGATTCTACATCATGTGGCAACAAAGAGAATCCCTTTCCCTGTTCATCACAGGAAGGTTAGACTCAAGAGCAGGGGGTCTTCAAACTATGGCCCAGGGGCCAGATATGGCCCTCCAAGGTCATTTACCTGGCCCTTGCTCAGGGTCAACCTAAATCTGAAATTACTTGGAAGCACACAACAACAACAACAACAACAATCCTATCTCATCAGCCAAAAGCTCACCCACACTTTCCATTAAAATACTAATAAGTTTATATTTGTTAAAATTGTTCTCCATTTTAATTATTGTATTGTTTTTAAGTGTTTTTGAACTACAAATAAGATATGTGCAGTGGGCATAAGAATTCATTCATGTTTTTTTCAAATTATAATCCGGTCCTCCAACAGTTTGAGGGACTGTGACCTGGCCCTCTGTTTAAAAAGTCTGAGGACCCCTGCTCAAGAGGGTAGGTTTAGTATGAACAATTTTTGGGTGTCTCAACTAAAGACCAAATCTGTTTCAAAAGGGGATTTAAATCCTCTTCTGTCTTTTGTCTCCTCCTGTGAAGATGCATATTGCCATTTTCCATATTTCATATTTTTCTGATATATTTATTTATTTATTTATTTATTTATTTACCACACTTTTATCCCGCCCTTTTCAGCCCAAAGGCGACTCTTTTCCTTTGCTTTCCTTAGAATATGAAATTTAGAAAGATAGTTAGCTCCAACAACTTTCCTATGGAAAATGTACTTCTTTTGCTTCAATAAATACTTTTGAAGTGACATTTTGGCTGTGCAATTCTGTGCCACCCTAAGCAACAGAAGCTTATCCCAACTTGTCACACATAAGTTTCTGCTGATTGTGAAATGTGCTTCTAGCACTCTGCTGTATTTTTGGTGGAATCACCCCAAGAGAGGGTTATTTTTGAGTCTTAACTACTCATAGATTCCCGACAGCATTGAACAGAGATAGGAGACAACTCAATTTGTATTTTGTGTATGTTCCTGTAAAAAGGTAAAGGTAAAGGTAGTCCCCTGACATTAAGTCCAGTCATGTCTGACTCTGGGGTGTGGTGCTCATCTCCATTTCTAAGCCGAAGAGCCAGCGTTGTCCGTAGACACCTCCAAGGTCATGTGGCCGGCATGACTGCATGGAGCGCCGTTACCTTCCCGCCGAAGCGGTACCTATTGATCTACTCACATTTGCATGTTTTCGAACTGCTAGGTTGGCAGAAGCTAGGGCTGACAGCGGAAGCTCACGCCGCTCCCCGGAATCGAACCTGCGACCTTTCGATCAACAAGCTCAGCAGCTCAGTGCTTTAAACCACTGCGCCACCGGGGGCTCCCGTATGTTCCTGTACCACACCGAAATTCTCCCAACCATCTGGACAAGAATCTGTAGGGTGTACTTGTGTACATTATCAGTAATGTGCCATGTGGTTGAAGAGTTCTTTTCTATAGTTCCATCATAGACACTTTTCCACCCCATAAGCTCTTCTTATCCAAGGCAACTGGGGGCAAGAGTATTTGAATGCAAAGCAATATGTTTATGTGACCATAGTAGCTAGATGGATTCCTCTAGCATCCTATTTATTACTAACATTTATACATGCAGTTCCCAAGTTACAGACAAAATAGGTTCTGTAGGTGTGTTCTTAAGATGAATTTGTTTGTAAGTAGGAACAGGTACATTTTTAAATGAAACCTCAGCTTCAAATAGCATAGGAAAGGATTAAACCCCTATGATGTTTGTTTTGCTGTCTGTGCCCCTGTTCGGAAGATTTCACCTCACCATCTGTCCCTTGCATTTTGAAAAAAAATAGCCTATATGGAAATAAGGATTTGTGATAAAGCTTCAGTTGAGACACCTTTTCCCAGTGGTAACTCTTTCAGGGATGAATTTCCCTTTCAAGAGATTGATTTTTCTTGTTTCCCGTTGTCTCATCCCTGTCTCATCCCTGTTCTTAACAATGAATAGTTTGTAAGTCAAATATTTTAACTTGGGGACTCCCTGTATTCTACATTTTCTTCATGAAGAAGCTCAATAGAATTCCTGGTTAAACCCCTTTCCCAAGTAAAATGAAATAAAAAGCAGAATCCCCCACTTCAAGATTTGAGTTTTACAGCCAAACAAATTATTTTTCTACCTACTTTGTACCTTTCAGAACATCGAGCTGAAGGTGGAAGTAGAGAGCCTGAAAAGAGAGCTCCAAGAGAAGCAGGAAAACTTGGATAAAGCTTGGTAAGTGGCATTTCTGAAGAGAAACATCAAAAACGTTAGGGAATCTTTTCTCCCTTTCCTACTTACTTACTTAGGCAATCCCTCATTGTCTGAGTAGGATTGTCTTCCAAGATCAGTGTACTGGTGGTGGGTATGTAGGTGACTGTGGAGCCCTATTCTTGACTTGCGTGTTCTCTCGCAGTGAGGACATCGGTTTCCAGGTGGAAGGCAGTCCCGGTCAGGGTTGAATTGATGTGCCTTCCTCTTGGCATGTTTCTCTCTTTCGCTCTCCATTCATGCCGCTTCAAATTCTACAGCACTGCTGGTCACAGCTGACCTCCAGCTGCAATGCTCAGAAATCTCACAGCTGGATTTATGTAGCTTTGAATTCATATCTAGTATTTTTTTAAACAAAAACAATTAAGCCTATTTTTTGCCCAAAAACCAACTCATGTCCAAGTAATACGAAATAGTTAAGGCTTCCTTCTAGATACCATCTATATGCCACTGGGAGGGTTGCGTGTTGCTTTTCTCTTTCATTACACTGTAAGCAGAGGAGATACTTGCTAGCCAGTCTGAAATAAAAGTATTTCCTTCCTCTGACATGTCGCAGGCTGAATTAAGAAGCCTCCTAGAGCTTAGCCACTGCTTTTCCTTCTCTGAAACCTGAGAATATTATTGGTTTTTCTGCTTCATATTTCCCTCAGGAAAGTGTGCTTTGCCACACATGAATAGCAATTAGTGTCCTAGATTCAGAGTAAGAGCTCATCGACGTGGACTGAATAGTCAGCACTGACTGTGAAGTCGCTCCTGGCTGTCTTCATGACATCCAGGGTCTTCCTGTCCTTATTGCAGGGGTAAGGCAGGTTAATTTGGGCTTGCCCTACATTAAGGAAAGCCAATGGGTGCTCTGGAGTTAGGCCAAAACTGCAAAGCAATCTGACCACTTGGACACAATGTGAACAAAACAACTGGGTCGGATGTGAATTGGTCCATTGTCAGGGATTCTCACAGACAAAGCATTTCAAGGAAAAGTCTTACTGGGGTGCTGTGCGGTTTCCAGGCTATATGACTGTGTTCTAGCAACATTTTCTCCTGACGTTTTGCCTGCATCTTCAGAGGATCCCCTGAAGATGTAGGCAAAACTTCGGGAGAAAATGCTGCTGGAACACAGCTTTACAGCCTGGAAATCACACAGAACCCTAGTGGTTCCAGCTGTGAAAGCCTCCAACAATACAAAAGCCTTACTGTCTTCAAATAGTACTTTATTTGTTAACAAACAATGGAATCAGCCAACGCATAACATTCTTTTGTCAGAACTGAAGATCCCTCCAGATTCATTCTTGTAAAGGCTTGTACACCCAGTTGCTCATGGGGTCATAAACCATATCCCAACCCTTTGTACCACTGTGGGAAGAGGTTCTATTTTCCCTGAGCAATAGAGCTTTATTGTTCCCACTGATGGTCTCAGCCAAATGCACCTTGTATATATATACAATAATTATATGTCAAATGTTGACTTTTATGACATGGTTTCAAAGAAGTCATAACATTCCTTGATCAAAAACACCACCACCATCCCTTTTTCCCTTTGCCCATCACTAGCACCCCCGCATCATCCAGTGAGAAAGAGGAGGGGATCTCTCCCCTGCACATCACTTCTGATAATATCTGAACAAAGTACCATTGAGATCCAGGAGCTTGAATTATCTTGATATTTGCTGGGAGATTACCTTTGCTAAGCATAGGCTCTAGAAGAAGTTCCTGATATGCCTTGCAGCTCATTTCCTCTTTCAAAAGGTGGAGAAAGGAACAAGGGGATGAGCAAACCTGAACTTGATCCTAACCAATAGGCAGAAGTTGGTCACTGGTATCAAAGCAGCCGATACTTTAGGGGGGCTGAGTATGTATATGTGCTCAGCAATTGCAATAGTTCTATTTTAAGTTATGTTAATTTGACCTATGTACTATTTTTTTGTATTGTTTTAACTGTTAGTTGCTGTAAGCCACAGAGTCCCTTCCGGGAGAGGGGCCCAGATATAAATAAAACATTATTATTATTATTATTATTATTATTATTATTATTATTATTATTATTTTGTCAAAGGCTTTCATGGCCAGAATGACTGGGTTGCTGTAAGTTTTTTTGGACTGTATGGCCATGTTCCAGAAGCATTCTCTCCTGATGTTTCACCTGCATCTATGGCAGGTATCCTCAGAGGTTATGAGGTTTGTGGAAACTAGGAAAATTGACTTTATATATCTGTGGAATATCCAGGGTGGGAGAACGAACTCTTGTCTGTTGGAGGAAGTTGTAAGGGTTTCAATTGGCCACCTTGATTAGCATTTAATGGCCTAGCAGTTTTCAAGGTATGGCTTCTTACTGCCTGGGGGGAACCTTTGTTGAGAGATTATTATTATTATTAATATTATTATTACTACTACTACTGCTACTATTGATTGTGGGATAGACTAAGGGAAAATATAGTCAAACACAAAGTTTGGATTTCAGGGAAGCTTTGTGTTTGACTATAATGGCCATGCCCCTAAGATGAAATTTTACCTTAGAGTGGTCAAATTTATTTCACATTGCAGTGGGAGGAGTTTTGGAATCAAAGACAAAAACTAACTCAGCAATGGGAGGTAGAGCACACAGATACGTCCTCCTTGTTGGCAAAGACTTGGAATGCTTTATCCATTAGTTTATCTCCTCTTGAAGCCACTCTTTCGCTATAAAACATGTGCATGACTGTGCTAAACCCCTGACATCCCTTTTGTTTTGATCTTGTATATTTCAGGGCAGCAGTAGAGAACTCGCACAGTCAGAATGAAGCAGAGCTCTGTCAGCAGCGAAAGAACAAGCATGTTTGTGAGATCCTGGAGAAGAAAGCCCAGCTCCTACAAGAGGTGAGGAAATGGGCTTACAAAACAGGAGAGATACCTCCCCTTTGATGGCCACTTGAGTAGGGAGAATTATGACAAACCAGCAAGAAATGGATACACTGATGACTGGCACTTTGAAATAGCTGGAAGAATGAGCATTATCCTCATTTGATGGGATATTTCAAATGTTTATAGTGTGTATTGTAATGCTTCCATTGACCTACAATGAAGGCAAAAAAGAAAAAAGAAGATAACCCAAATAGGTGCTACAAAAAGTCTAAACAGTGAATTAAGTCTTCATTATTTTGCATTGTTCCTAAAATCAGAGTCTTTCTGCAGTAGTGTTCACACTAGGATCGATTAGCCCTGCAATACTGTACTCTGTAAAAATAATAAAATACTGGCATTCCCCGTCTTCCTCTCGCACGATCCCCATAATCATCATAATCATCGTTATTGTAGTAGTAGTTGTTGTTATATGTTACTCCCCCTCCTTACAGCTCAAGATGGGGTACCACAGTTAAAATACACCAATAAAACCTGAAATGTCACTAGTATGCAAAAATGTCATGTAATGAGCAGCACGAGCACACACTGTTATACAGCTCCAAGTGTATATCCCCAACCATCATGTGATGTTTATAGTATCATTTGTTGGCTTAAGCCAAATATGATGGAACAGTTCTAGGAATCTTTCTGGGAATGTTCTAGCCCGTGACTTCCTGCATCTCAATATTCTGTTAACCTTCTAGCAGTTTTTCCATTGGAAACACCAGGATTGTGGTGCAGCAGGCTGAGTGTCAGCTGCATTAAGATCACTCTGACCAAAAGGTCATGAGTTCAAAGCCAGCCCAGGTTGGAGTGGGTTTCCAACCAATTGGGTAGCCTGTTGTTGACCTTTGCAACCCGAAAGACAGTTGCATCTGTCAAGTAGGAAAATTAGGTACCACCTTGTGTGGGGAGGCTAAATTAACTAATTTATGAGGCCATAAAAAATACTCCAGCAAAGCACTCCAGCAAAAAGCATGTGGGGAATGCGGAAGTACTTCATCAGTGTCGCAGATGGACGATGAAAGCGACAGCTCCCCTGGCAGCCAGAAAAAGTTAAATAGCCTCTATTTATGTCTGTATACGTTGTATGTCAAAATTGGCATTGAATGTTTGCCATATATGTGTACACTGTAATCCGCCCTGAGTCCCCTGCGGGGTGAGAAGGGCGGAATATAAAAGCTGTAAATAAATAAATAAATAAATAAAATGATCTCAGATCTTTCTCCCTTGAAAGAACAAGAGGTTTCTTCATTTGACTTGGGAAGTTTGTTTCAAGTAATGGAGGCCACATGAAGACTAGATAGTGGAAACTTTTCTGGTGGCAACATGGAGATGATACTTCCCTAGCAACCTATAAAATTAGTACCAGTGTTCTGGGGAGATTTAAAAAATATTTACGAAAGGTGTCACATCCCAACACATTTGACTAGTCTAGAAAATCCTATATGACTCAAAACCGATACTCAGATTTCTAAAAATATAGCTAGGCATCACTGCATAAATACAATGTTAATGATTTGCACTACACTCTGAGACTGCAATATACTTGCCAACTAGAGGCAAACTGAATCAGTTACTGTATAAGGGGAAACAACTCACTCCCCGTAACCAACTATATATGTTTCTCCCACGTCATTGTTATTTTTAAACGGAAAAAATATCCAGGAGTAAATGTTTCAAAATAATGATGGAATTGCTGTTTGTTTCCTCAAAGCAAGATCACGCCTTCTCTCTCCACACATGTATTTGGTCCCTGGTTGAATAATAATAATTATTATTATTATCTTTATTTATACCCCGCCACCATCTCCCCCAACGGGGACTCGGAGCAGCTTACGTGAGGCCAAGCCCGAACAACAAATTACAATACGATACAAATTGCAATAAAATAAACAACATAACATTAAAATATAAAACATAAAAGTATATAAACAATATACACATGGTTGAAGTACAATATGGTTGAAGTGAACTATTGGAGAATATTGGCCACAGAAAAAGAGAGAGCACCTTTATATGTGTGTGTGATGGGGAAAATGATCTTGCTGTAAAGAAAAATAGCAATAGCATCATTACAGCTTACTACTTTTGCATAATACGTACATCTTGGTTCAGTTTTATTTAAATGTAATGACTCATTGGGGAAATAACAGGCAGAGACCATGTGAGTATTGTGAAGCATCTGGAAATAAATCTACAGAGAACCACAAGGGGTGGGACACAGCCAGATCTATCAGCACAATCAACATCACAAACAAACTGCAATGTACTGCCTTTCTATTAATATTTTTAAGTTAGGAAAGCACTGAGAGAAGTGATAAAAGACCTCATGAAGTTATACTAAATGATGTGACATAAACTGGGCCAGATCACCAGTCTGGATCAGCCTATGGTGTCCATGCTATGCTGAAAACATCAATACATAACAAGAGATGTTGGTAGGTATTCCAAGTTGGTTTAGGCTGAATAGCTATCATCATGATCTGACACAGGCAGAAACTGTTGTAAAATTGTGAAATATTGCTAAATGCTTTCATTCTCATCCTCCTGGAATTAATTCAGTCTCATTTCTGCTGGAGAGAAGAGTCACCTAGAACTAGGATCCATGCTTCTTCAGATTTCTGTGGAAGAGCAGGATATTACAAAACTTTATTATTTTCCTGAAAGTAAAGATTTTCGTCGGTCCCATCTCTATTTTTTAGGAGGTCCAGTCAGCAAATGCAAACGCAGAAAGGATGACAACGCTGGCTGAGACTGAGAAGAAACGTTGCTTGGAACTCAGCAAGCAGCTAATTGAGTTCTCCAAGAAGCAGAATGAGACCCAGAAAAGCCAGGAAATGTGCCGAGTTAAACTGGCCGAGAAAGACAAGTGAGTACAAGTCCATTTTGTTATGATGACTTAGTTTTTGTCTGTCAAAATATTTAGGGAGGTGTAAGGAAGTGTCTTCTATTTCAGGGTCCTCAGAACCAAAACAAATGCTATGGCTCTCCTTTGTGGGGTCCTATTTGAACTTTGTTGCTATAATGAATTTGGAGACTTATTGCTATCCCCCCCCCCCTTTCTCTCTCTCCCCTTTGTGTTCTGACTTAATGGGAAAAATGCCTTTGTGAGTGAATAGACGGCTCCCAGGGTAGTCATGTCAGTTGCTCATCCTACCATATCCTGTGAGGAAGCTGGTTCTCAACCTGTGGATCCTCAGATGTTTTGGCCTTCAACTTCCAGAAATCCTAATAGCTAGTAAACTGGCTGGGATTTCTGGGAGTTGTAGAACAAAATACCTTGGGACCCACAAGTTGAGAACCACTGCCTTAGCCAAAGTAACCAGACCCTTTCTCCTTTGCAGGAGGATTGAGGAGCTGACCCAAAATCTAAGAGACACGGAGCAACTTCTTGAGCTGCTCTCTACGGAAAAACAGGACTGGCAACAATGTTTGGAGGAGCCTCGGCAAATGAAAGCACAGGTAATGATGCATCCCACCTTTCTCCTGCTATAGGGACTCCAAGCAGCTAACCACAAAATTCCCTAGTGCTCACCTTCTACAGGTGCAGTACAATGGTGTTTTGCCTCATTTCAGCTCATGCTGCTTCCTGGCCATAGAAAAGTACTATTTTAAACTATTTTGAGAGATTGATTTAGAAGGAAGGCTGAGTAGGATGCTTGAATTAATAATTGTGGAGAAAAGGAGAAAAAAACACTAAGCCATGGCATATAGTCTTTCTTTAGCCACACAAGACATTTACTTGTGCCTCTTTTGAGAGAGAAAGCAGCATATTAATAATTAATATTATTAATAACAATACTTCTGTCTAGGAAGTGGTCTAGCTAGTGATACCATACCAATGTTTATGGTAAGCAGCATTCTTCCAGTCACTCCCTCTCCACTTCTCACACCTGTGGATGCTTTTGCCAGGGGTTTTCATCTCTCACACAAATGCAAGTTATACTGGGGTGACAAGAAAGGCTATGGCAGCATTGGGAACTCTTGGTGGGTCACACAGGCAGACATCCCTGATTACATGTGATTTGGCGATCACTGCTGTATTACAGGCAGGTAGAAAGGGTTTCTTGTTCTACCTGACCCCCAAATGTTCCCTAAATCGAATGTTTGAAGATAGCTGTGGCTTTGCCATTTGGAAAACAAAAACAAAAACAAAAGCAGAACCAAAACACATGCTGCCTCCTTTCTTCTATTACTGTTGTAGTGCTGGAGCAATATCGCCCCCTGATGCACAGGGTTTTATATTCCAGTTTTAAATGTAACTTCTATTGTGCAATGAATGTGAGTCATTTGAAGGGTTCTTGTTGCTCAGCCTCAGAGGAAGAGCAAGAATAACTCAAGTCCTAAGTCGTGATTTCTTTATGAGAATAAAACTGAAGTAAAATACAACTTCTCCAGTACCAGATCACCATCACCCACCTAAGCACAGAAAACAGTGTGACAGTGTGAAATGAAAGCCATCTTGGAAATGTATGTTATTATCTTGTGATTAATATTTTTTAAAAAATTTAAATGAAAGATTTTTATGAAATACGTTGTGTTTCCATATATTTTGTTATTACAATTTATGTTTGTGTCTGCATCTCTTATAAGGGCTTGGTTTAATCTGTTGAATGCTAGTAAAACTCAATTATTGTGACACAAAATGATGCATGCCTAAAAAGTATGTCACTATCATGAAACGTTTGGAAAGCTCTGGTCTAGGGTGTGCCCAGAGGCATCTTAGTCACTGTTTAGGACAGATCTTTGAGTATTTTCTGTTTTGAGGAAATGGGGGCAAATGTGAAAAAGCAAGGAGAAAGAGAAACATATTTGGAGACTGCTATTGCTGAATTGCTTCTAATTCAGTGTACAATGTGCTCTTGAGTTGTATAGGCTGATGTGTGAGCAGCCTCATGTTGTTGATAGCTTCCAGTCTTACATTTCTTGTTTTGTTATCTTAGATGCAGTGCCTGGAGCCAAATCAGACAATGCATCTTTGTCATTTACTTAACATATTGTTTAAATGCAGCTGGGGTGGAACTGTGTCAGCTGTATTTGTCGGGAGGATACATCTCTGGTTTTTTGATATAAAGAATTTCCTTGTTGGTTTTAGCCCTTCTGCTGTTATGGATTTTAGGCCTGTTCCTGAAATTATTTGGGGTGTTGATTCAGAAAAAAATGCATTGGATAGACTGGATCAGCTCTAGTTTCTTAGGACCTCATCATATGAATGATCTAAACCTGGGGTCCTCAAACTTTTTAAAGAGAAGGCCAGGTCACAGTCCCACAAACTATTGGAGAGCCGGATTATAATTTAAAAAATTAATGAATTTCTATACACACTGCACATTATTTTATTTGTAGTGCAAAAAACACTTAAAACAATACAATAATTAAATTTTAACAAATATAAATTTATTAGTATTTCAATGGGAAGTGTGGGCCTGCTTTTGGCTGATGAGATAGAATTGTAATTGTTGTGTGCTTTCAAACCATTTCAGACTTAGGTTGACCCTGAGTGAGGGCTGGGTAAATGACCTTGTAGGGCCGTATCTGGCCCCTGGGCCTTAGTTTGGGGACCCTGATCTAAACTGTTTCTACACACATTAAAAAAAATTAAAAATGGGAGTCCCACGGAACCCATTATATGACTGTTCTCCATGGGGTTCAGTCTTTAAACTGTTTTTAAAGTGTGTAGAAACAGTTTAAGGAGTTGGGTAGCAATTGTCTTCAAGGCTCCTGATTCGCGCAGAAACGCTTATTTAAACATGGGATGGGAACTGACAGATTCCACCATTTTATATTGTTGTAGTGACATCAAAGAGTAGGTGTTTCTTTGGATGGTCTCCTGATGAGCCTTGATGCTCCTTTTCCCGCCATTAATCTTTTTGCATGAAATTTTTATGGTAATTTTAAAAAATAATTTATTCTCTAGGAAATGCTCGAATTCATCACCAGTTTGCTGTAGCTATATTTCCCTCTTTTAAGAACTAGATTTCAGACTTCTGCCATTTAGAGGTTTCTCTTTTTTTAATTAATGAAAGCAAGCATAATGGCGGGGGGGGGGGGCACAACAGTTATTCATGTGATAGCGCAGAACACAGAGGATTATCGTAGAAACAGACAATGTGGTGGTGGTGGTGAATATATTATCGGTTTTCCATTTAAATGGAACAGAACACTATGGTAAGAAGCTGGGATGAGGTCCTTCAATATGGTTATCATGATTTTCCATGGGTGAGCAGAGTAGAGTACACAGCCTATATTCTGTTTCTCAAAAATTAGACCTGATAAGGGGAAACTGGTGTCATTTTTTGGAATTAGCAGATCAAATATAACCAGAAACAGGCCTAACACTTGAGCCATCAAATATACGTGTTGACCGGTGATATTGTGATGGTACAAGTTGCTGTCTGTAGAGAAAACACAAGAGATGTCCCTATTGTGAGACTGCCTCCCTTCAGCAGGGTATTTATTTATTGTCAGAAGCTAATTGAGAATACAGTTATAATGTATTTTTAAAAACACAAAGTTAAAAACTTGGCATTGTACTAAATTTCCTTTGACCAGAAGCTGGCCACTTGGAGTGCCTCTGGTGTCACTGGTGCCATTGTGCAAGTTAGCAGGGCTCAAACCGCATTGTAGTAAATGGTCTGTGATTTGCTCTTTTCGACACTCGCATGTCATGGACTCCATTTTGTAGCCCCATTTCTTAAGATTGGTTCTGTATCTTATGGTGCCAGAGTGTAGTGTGTTCAGTGACTTCCAAGTTGCCCAGTCTTCTGTGTGCCCAAGGGGGAGTCTTTCATTTGGTATCAGCCATTGATTGAGGTTCTGGGTTTTAGCCTGTCACTTTTGGACTTTCTCTTGCTGAGATGTTCCTGCGAGTATCTCTGCAGACCTTAGGAAGCTGTTTCTTAAGAATCAGTTTAAGACGTTAGTATGCTGGCTGATATCCAAAAAGAATGAGCCGGAGATGTCACTGCCTTGGTCTTTTCATTAGTGGTTGTTACTTCCTGGTGGGTGGCAGGTAGCGTGGAATGTAGATATCCTGAGATAATGCAGCATGTCTCATTAAGAGCCACATCCACTGTTTTAATGTGCGAGATATGTTCCACACTGGGCATGCGTACTTAGCAGCAGAGTAGCAAAGCGCAAGGGCAGATGTCTTTACTGTATCTGGTTGTGACCCGCAGATTGTGCCAGTCAGCTTTCATATATTATTTCTAGCACCCACTTTTTGCTTGATAACTAAGCAGGGTGAACTACATCTTCAGATGCTGGAAAACAGAGGGCCCTTCCACACAGCCATATAACCCAGAATATCAAGGCAGAAAAAAATCACAATATTTGCTTTGAACTGGGCTGAGTCAACACTGCCATATATCCCAGTTCAAAGCAGAAAACGTGGGATTTTATTCAGATGAGTGGAACTGGCCTGAGAGGCAGGATGAACTGAAAACCATATGCTGTCTGTCTGCTGACAGCTTATGTCGCTACTTTGAACAAAGTGGAGCAGGCTTTTCTTCCTTCCCACACTCAGGACGCTTTCACAAGCAAATAACTCAGAATGTCAAGGCAGAAAATCCCACAGTATCTGCTTTGAATTGGATTACCTGAGGCCCCTTTGTCACAGCCATATAAAATTCAAATTGGACTGGATTATATGACAGTGCGGATTCAAGATAATCCAGATCAAAGCAGATATTGTGGAGCATCTGCCTTGAAATTCTGGGTTATATGGCTGTGTGGAAGGGCCCTAAGTCCAGACTGCCATATATTCCAGTTCAAAGCGGAAAATGTGGGATTTTTTTTCAGCTAGGTGGAAGGAGCCTAGGGGCCCTTCCACACAGCCCTTTAGCCCAAGATATCAAGGCAGAAAATGGTGCCCCCCGGTGGTGTAGTGGGTTAAACCCCTGTGCTGGCAGGACTGAAGACCGACAGGTCGCAGGTTCAAATCCGGGGAGAGGTGGATGAGCTCCCTCTATCAGCTCCCGCTCCTCATGCGGGGACGTGAGAGAAGCCTCCCAAAAGGATGACAAAAACATCAAATTATCCAGGCGTCCCCTGGGCAACGTCCTTGCAGATGGCCAATTCTCTCACACCAGGTCGCTCCTGACACGACCAAAAAAAAAAAGGCAGTAAATCCCACATTATCTGAGTGTGGACTCAGGGCCCTTCCACAAAGCCCTATATCCCAGAATATCAAGGCAGAAAATCCTACATTATGTGAGCGTGGACTGCTATGAACTGGGTTATCTGAGTCCACACTGAGGGCCCTTCCACACAGCCATATATCCCAGAATTTCAAGGCAGAAAAGCCCACAATATCTGCTTTGAACTGTAATATATAGCAGTGTGGGCTCAGATTACCCAGTTCAAAGCAGATATTGTGGGATTTCCTGCCTTGATATTCTGGGCTGTGTGGAAGGGCCCAGAGTGAAGAGCTGCTGTTGCATTCCAGGTGCCAGAAGGAAGAA